GTTGCCGGACACGGAAAAAAAAAAAAAAAGAAAAAAAAAAAAAAAAAAAAATTTCAGTAATTAATGATTTATAGATATTATAGTCAGATATTTACATAACTTTTACCCATGTATCATATTCTTTAAATTCCACAAACTTTATTTATGTGGGCCATATGAAAACTTTTTAGCTATTATGATGAACTGAAATCATATTTCAGATGAATTTTTTTTTTGATAACTATTATTTTTTATGTATACCTAATAGAAAATAAAAATGAGTGTTATGTTTAAATGGTAAATTTAAGAGTTTTTTTTTTTTTTTTTTTTGTCTTTTTTCTTGTCCGGCAACGAAGAGTTTTTTTTTTTTTTTAATGTGTAGGGATGGATGATTTGTTTTCAAGAGATAATTTGTTTCACTGGCACTTTAATTTCTTTATGAACATACTTTGTCCTAAAGATAGATGAATAAAACCTTCCAACAGAAATTATTATTTTTTGTTAGAAAATTATTATATAGCAAGGTGTACAAAAATATGAAGATTATGGGGTTTTTTTGTGGTTAATTTAGTGTCTGATAAAACAATATGTTATTTCCTTTTAGAAGTTGTATGCTCCAGGCAGATTCTGAAAAGCTGCGCCAGGCATGGATTAAGGCTGTTCAGACCAGTATTGCTACTGCTTATAGAGAGAAGGGTGATGAATCAGAGGTTAGTAGTGATATTAGCAGTACCAAATGATATATTGCCAAAAGTTTTTAAATTTAGTTTCAACATTATATGATTATAACATCCTTTTTTATGAAGGATGATTTTATGTAATCGAATGCGTTTTATTTTCAGAGTCTAGGTTCAATTCCTTTTTTGTTTATTTCTCTTGATTTTACTTGTTATCTTTTTTTAATGTTTGGATATGTGTCCCAGATTGGAATAAGGTATTCTGATGTTAGTATTTTTCCCTAAAATATTTTACTATTTTAGTTAATCATAAAATAAAATAATGATCATGAAAGGTATTAGTAAAAAAAAAAAAAAAAAGGAAAGTACGATATTGTCTCTTAATTAAAGGTTCCCTGGAAAAGATAAACTAAATATGGAAGTTTGGGCCATACTCTGGCTTCAGCTTCCCAAAGAGTTTACAAACTCTTTTCAGCAAGGACATGAGTGAATCTTGAGAAATGGAACTCACTACTTTTGGGTCATCTGGCAGGGCTGTATCATAGGCTTGGTGATAGTCAATTGTCAGTTATATAGTTAGGAGAATAGATTGCTCTCTAAATTGTATGTCAAAGCTCATCATGGCCAAATTCCAGCTCCTATGAGTAGATCAAAGCAGAACTCTTCCCAAGCAGGAAATGGTGAGACTTACTTCGTCCAAGCAGCAGGGCACAGAGAGGAGAATAAGACTTTCATCAGTGGCCAGGTTCACCAAACATTGTTGGGTACAGATGAAGAGAACATTGGTAAAGGGCACATTGGTGAAGATAGCCTTCAATATGTCTGTCTCTAGAATCACACTTCTCCATTCTGGACCAGTTGTCCCATAAGCCTGCAGTATCACTATTAATCTGGCATTTCCTTACATAATCAGTTTTGGAGATTCTTCTCTTTCCTGTATCTCATATCTTTGTCTTTCTTGACTTAAGAAAAACTTAAGTACTTTCTTTAGTAGCTTCCTGAAAATAAGGCATTTGTGACTCCATGCATGTCTGAAAATGTCTATTCTGTCCTCAAATTTGTTTGATAGCTTGGTCGGGTATAGAATTTTGAGGTTAGTAATAATTATTCTTAAGGAATTTAATAGCATTGCTTTTTTTTTTTTTTAATTTCTAGTGTTGCTGTTGGAGCTTTTCCTATTATTGATCTTTTGTATTTCTCCTCTTCAATTTCTCTTTTTTCTCTTTCTGAGATTTCTGGACTGGTATTATGATATTCTTATTTTTTTGTGTATGTTTTTTCCTCTGCTTTCTGGGAAATCTTCTCAGTTGATCTTCTAAACCTCCTATTGAATATTCTAGTTCTGCTAGCATATATTTAATTTCCAAGAGTTTCTTTTTGTTTACTGAATGTTTATGAATATAAACCTGTTCTTTTTCATGGATGCAGTGTTAGAACTGTGATTCTTAACTTTGCACGCAATAACACAGGGAGCTTTAAAAAAATTTCAGTGCAGGGCCGGCCCGGTGGCGCACTGGAGAGTTTGCCGCTTGGGAGCGCGGCGGCGTTCCCGCCGAGGGTTCGGATCCCATGTGGAGACCGGTTCCCGCTCACTGGTTGAGCGTGGTGCGGGCGCAACACCGAGGGTTGCGATCCCGTTACCGGTCAGTAAAAAAGATAAAAAGGAAAAAAGAAAAAAATTTCAGTGCTATGTCCCACTCCAGAACAATTGAATGGAGTTGGGACCCAGGCATCAGTAATTTAAAAAGCTTCCTGTGTGATTTCCATGAACTGCCAAGATTGAAAACCATTGTATTAGAGGATTTCCTTGGCTAACTGGTAATCTGCTCACCATTGGTTATAAGCTAGGGACTGAAAACCTCTTCGGAAGCTCTGACTGTATGGTTAGGACTTTGTTGAATATGAGCTTTGCCTAAGTCTGGACCATTTGCCAAGTCACTATCTTTGGAGTCTTTTTGGCTGGTGTGATTTCCCAGAGATAACTCACTTATCTCCCACATAGGAATAAGGGACTGGACGGGAGCTAAGTGCTGGGTATCTCAGCATTCAGTATGTGTTCATTCACTTAATCCCCTGCCTCACCATCTAGAGACTCTGTTTTACTCTAGAGAATAAACTTTCAGTCATTTGTGTTTATGTGTAGAGAGCAGTTCCCTAATGGCATGGGATTGGGGAGGGGACTCTGGGATGTAACTGCTTCTTAAACAATCATTTTTCCTGCTTTCATGAATGGGTGTCATGTTCAGTGCTGTATTCCTTGAGGTGGCTGGCCCAAGTTATGCTCTGTTTGTGTACTTAGCTTTCAGCTTCTAAAATTTGTTGCAAAAGCATTAGCATTTAAAGAAAAATTGGGAATGAACCAACATTGTCTCTGCATTATAATACTGACATCCTTTCCCTATATGATAATTGCTTATGAGCTAATTCACATGATCAAACATGTTCTGGTAAAACAGTATATTTCTTTTTTTTAATTTTAAAGTAATCTCAAACTTACAGAGAAATTCGAAGTCCAGAACATATAACTTTCCCCCCCCTGAACCATTTGAGCATAAGTTGTCAACATGGTGCCCCATCACCCATCCTTTCTATAATGAGTACTTTCCACAACCTAGGACATTTTCCTGTATAATCACGTTATAGCCATCAAAGTGAAGAAGTGAGTATTTGTACGTTACTATCTTTTAATTCCCAAACATTATACAGGTTTTAACAATTGTCCCAGTAATGTTCTTTAAAACAAGAAGATTCAGTCCAGAAGCATAGGTAGCATTTAGGTGTCATGTTATTTTAATCTCTTTCGGTCAAGAATAGTTCCTCAGTCTTACCTTGACCTTTTTGACCTTGATAGTTTCAAAAATTCCAGACTACTTATTTTATAGAATGTCCCTCAATTTGGGTTTGTCTGATGTTTACTCATGAGGTTATGTATCTTTGGCAGGAATATTATATAAATGATGATGTGTCCTTACTGCATCTTCTCAGGTTTTGATTTGTCTCATTATTGGTGATGTTAACTTTGATCACATGATTGATTAAGGTGGTCTTGCTAGGCTTCTCTACTGTAAGGTTACTCTATTAACCTTTGAAGTAATAAATATTTTGTGGGGGAGGTACTTTGAGACTTTTGGTGGGGAATTGTATTTAAAAACCAAGATAAGGTTTATAAGGTGTATATATACACATATGCACATTTATGTCTATATTTATCTATTTATATTGAAAATCATTAGGATGCCTATTGGTATCTCCAGTTCTAATCTCATATAACAAGATTCATTCTAATTTTCTCCTTTTCCATATTAATAACTTCTTTCTCTGTAGTGAGAAATCTGGCTCCCATTTATCTTTAACATGATTACTTACATTATTGATACCCCTGTATGTAACCAGTGTCCTGTCTCTACTGCTACCTGCCCCCAACCTTATCCTCCCAGCCCTGCACAGATGCCCTCTTATCCCACTCAGGCTCTGACACCTCACACCAGGTGGCAGTCCTACTTAGATACTCTTCTCTTTCTACTCAGACTTTCATTTCCCTTGCTGGGCTGCTTCCTAGGCAGACGTCCTCCTTACCCTGCTTAGGGTCCAACAAGCTGCGTAAGGTTACACTCTTATGTGGATATGTTCCTCACCCAGCTTAATCCTTTCTGGAATACCATGTCCTTACACTTACCTTGCACAGCCCTACCTAATGGATATTGAATTGAGTTTTCAGGAATTGCAAGTCCCGTGTGTGTGTGTGTGTGTGTGTGTGTGTGTGTGTGTGTGTGTAACTGGCCAGTAAGGGGATCCAAACCCTGCCCTTGCATACTGACCGGTAACGGGATCGCAACCCTCGGTGTTGCGCCCGCACCGCGCTCAGCCAGTGAGCGGGAACGGGTCTCCACATGGGATCCGAACCCTTGGCAGGAGCGCCGCCGCGCTCCCAAGCGGCGCGCTCTCCAGCGCGCCACCGGCCGGCCCCAGCCTCTGTATTTCTGGTGATCCTATAATACAGGATGGCTTGTTAAGGTTGGGATGTATTTAAACCAGAAGACTTTTATAGACCATATCTTTAATTGCTTAGGATCCGTGAACCAAATCTTTGTATTTGGTCATTATTGACATGCATAGGCAAGTGCTTGTTAAATACTCTTTATTATTGGTGTAGACTTGCTGTGTACTTAAAAAATTAACTTTTTGCTTATCAGCTATCTTTTGATTTTCTTCTGGTTTACCTAATAGCCCTTGAGATTTTAGACATTGTGTGTTCTATTGTTGATTCACTCTAGTTATAATTTTGTAGTTCATCTATTCTTTATTATTTAACTATACAAGGCCATATCTTTCATAGCAATTTACAGCAGTAATTAAAATAACTTGCTTACAGTTCATTGTACACCTTGGAAGAATGTGGTGTATAATAATAATATTTATTTTATTCTCGAGTCTTAGTAATCTCATGCCTAGTCCCTCTCGTGTCTGTCTCCCATACTGCACATTAACTAGTATTCCCCTTTCTCTCTGTTCATTGTGTCAGTTATTATATATAATTTAAAATGTTTATATATTTTTCCTCACTAGACTAAAAGTCCGTTGATGGAGTCACCTGTATCTTTTCATCTTTGAATCTCCAGTGCCTGGAATAGTGCCTGGCTTATGCCCATAATAGGCCTTTAATTTACTGATTGGAAGCTTTTGTTTGGATGATGTAGCACGCAACATACTGTTGCAATTTTTTTTGACAATAATTCTTAATTCTTTTAGAAGCTGGATAAGAAATCATCTCCATCCACAGGAAGCCTAGATTCTGGAAATGAGTCAAAAGAGAAATTATTGAAAGGAGAAAGTGCGCTGCAGCGGGTCCAGTGTATCCCTGGCAATGCCAGCTGTTGTGATTGTGGTCTGGCAGATCCGCGGTGGGCCAGCATCAACTTGGGCATCACCTTGTGTATTGAGTGCTCTGGGATTCACCGGTGGGTAGGCCTGCCCAGAGTGAGAGACTTCTTTTTTTAGATATACACGCATTATAAATTATCATGTTTCATTTGTTAGGGGCCCTTTTCCACTTCCCTAATTTAACTATCAGTTTGGATCTTTGTATCTTTTGTAAAGTGGATAAAATTTTGGTTTGTAAAGTGCTTTTGAGGACTTTGGTTCACCATTTATTATAAACCAGAAGATCTGTCTTTATTTATATGTGTGTTGAGGTCTATTTTAGAACCTATGTCATCTTAAAAGAGAAAAATAATTTGCATAAATATGCAAATAGAGTAGAGACTTGATAGTTTTATATGTTAATACAGTCTTCTTTTTTCCTCTTAGGAGTCTCGGTGTCCATTTTTCAAAAGTACGATCTTTAACTTTAGACACCTGGGAGCCTGAGCTTTTAAAGGTAAATAAATATTTTAATATTTGCATAAAAATATTTCATATTTTCACATAAACGTAAAGATTTTAGAATCTTGGTTTACAAAAATTTATGAGTTTCTCATGCTAACAGTGAACCAAAATGTATTGGAACATATCTAAGACTATTTTGGCAAGTCTGGTGTTTTTATAATAGGTTTTTAAAATTGCTAAGTCTATATAGCACTCTTAATTTCAAGTCAGTTTACTCTTTAAGAAAACTAGTGATCTTACATTTTTGTGTTTTTTCAAAATAATCTTAGATTCTATGCTTTAATTTTAATCTTTTGTAATTAGATGCTTATTAAAAATATGAGATATGTTGTGATAGTAAGCTCTGTAATGGATTGATATAGCATGTTGGCACCATTGGGTTATTTTAGCACAGGACCATCTGCGAATTTATATTTGTCAGAGTAGGAGTCATCAAACCACGACGTTTGTTTTTTTCTATGTGTAAGGATCCATATCTATGAAACTGTCATAAATAATTTTAGACCACTACTGGTTTTCTGATAAGATTTACAGAATTCCTAACAGTTAATAGTATACTTATTTAATTTCTTCCATCTAGTTTACTATATTGTAGAAAATAATGTAAGTTTAAGGATTGGGATATATTCTACATTTATTTTTGTGCAAAATTGTTTTCAATATGATTGTGTTTTTATTTCAATCTATAGATAAACTGATATGTCTGTCAATATGTAAAGTAAAAAATTTGCTTTGTGGAATTATTGTGTAAACATGTAAGCGAAAGTGATAAATTGGCTTCTAATGTAGTGCCCTATATAGGTAGATTCTACAAATTATGAATTCAGAGGAGAAGAAAGTGGGGGATGAGTGACAGAAATCTAATTTCTTCATCAAACTTTATGTTTGATAAGAACTCAGTGGGTTTAATTTAGAAAATTTGGTTGAAACACAACTATCTGATACATTAAAAATATGAAATGTAAACAAAATATTTTGAAATACTTATGTACAAATTATAGAGATAAAATAGTTTACTTCAATTTTGTGGTGTTTACAACTTTACCTGTCTGACCATAGGCTTCTTTTTTCAATTAATTTGCCAAATATTGTGAATAATATGCAGCACTGTACTAGTCACAGTCAAGGGACAGAAAACTAGTAGAAGATGGGTTCTGTCTCTCAAGAAACTTAAAGTCATTTTGGGGCAAAGAATGCAAATATAAGTAAAGATGTTAGATAACAGAGACACATGATATTTTAGTTCAAATTTTAAATAAAGGAATTATTAGTATAGAGGTTATTTAAAAAAGAAAGAAGTAGTTTGGATCAGGCCTTTCTAGAGGAAAGTGAAATTATCCCCCAGGTAGATGAGACAAGTTATATGAATATAATTTATATTGTAAAGGACTATATATAGAATGTTAAGAGAATTCCTTGGGAAGAAATGGAAGTCAGGGCCGAGCCTGGGGTGCACTCGGGAGAGTGTGGCGCTGGGAGTGCAGCAGCGCTCCTGCCGCGGGTTCGGATCCTATATAGGGATGACCGGTGCGCTCACAGCGCTCACTGGCTGAGCATGGTGCGGCCGGTCTCAAAAAGGACAAAAAAAAAAAAAAAAAAAAAAAGGTTGTTACTGTTTTCTAACATTCTTCTAGGCTTTTTTATCCTATCCCTTTATAAAAATTTATAGGCTTTTATTCCATCCCTTTATCTTAAAAATTTTAAAGAAAATTATAAAGTAATAGTATACACCACTAAAATTTTGGAAAATAGAAAATAATTTCCATAATTTCTTTTTCATAATAGTATTTGTTTTTCTGGTGAAATTCACTCATTTTATAAGAATATTTTAGAAGTTTTAGTCATAATGTATGTATTATTTGGTGTACAGTATAAAATGTGTCTAACTCTTGATATTTTTCCCAAATTCTTAACCAATTTTCCTAGCATTAATTATTGAACAATCCTTTCCTTTCCCATCATTTTGTTATTTCTTCTTTGCCCTACATAAAATTTTGTAAATAGGGTTGATTTTTTTCCTTAAAGTGCACATACATATTTTAAATTAAATATCTTTTCTATTTTTTTTTTTTTTTTGAAATTTAGAAAATTCATGAATGGGTGGAAATTAAATAACATTCTCCTAAATAAACGATGGGTAAAAACAGAAATCACAGGGAAATTAGAGAGTACTTTGAGATAAAAATCAAAGTGCAGCATATCAAAGTTTATAGGATGCAAGGCACATGAAGTGCTTAGAGGAAAATTTATACTTGTAAACACCTATATTAAAAATAAGAGAAATCTCAAATCAGTAATGTAAACTTCTACCTTAAGAAAATAAAAAAAGAGCAATTTAAACCAAAATCAGATATAAGTAGGAAATAACAAAGATTGCAACAGAAACATGAAGTAGGGAATTAAAAAACAATAGAGAAAATCAACAAAAACAAAAGTTGTTTAAAAATATCAACAAACTTTGTAAACCTTTATCTAGACTGACAAGAAAAAAAGAGAGATGACTGAAATTATCAAAATCAGAAATAAAACGGGCATTATTACATTGTCATCATAGTTTTTTGCGGTGGTGAAATTTAGTTTCTTTCTCTTTCTTGTTTAGCTTTACCCCAGTGGGTTTTGTTCTTTTTTGTGTATTTGTGGTAGTGATTATCATTTTTCAGATTCCAGGTGCAGGACTCCCTTGAGAATTTCTTGCAGGGCTAGTCATATGGTGGTAAACTCCCACAGTTTTTGTTTGTCTAGAGAGAATACAATATTTTTTCCACATTTCTGAAGGATAGCCTTGCTGGGTATAGTATTCTCAGCTGGCAGTTTTTTTCTTTTAATATTTTGAATATATCATCCCATTTTCTTCTGGCCTATAGAATTTCTGTTGAGAAGTCTATTGTTAGACTGACAGGGGCTCCCTTATAGGTGACTTGATACTTTTCTCTTGTTTCTTTTAAGATTTTCTCTTTGTCTTTGAGCTTTGCCAGTTTGACTTTGACTATAATGTGTCTTGGAGAGGATCTTTTGGGGTTGAATTTGTTTGGGGATCTTTGAGCCTCCTGGATTTGAAGGTCTGTGTCTCTCCCTATACCTGGGAAGTTTTCTGTTATTTAATTGAATAGGTTTTCAATGCCTTTTCCTTTCTCCTCCCCTTCTGGAACATCCATTATTTGAGTATTTGTGCACTTAAGGTTGTCTGCAAGCTGTCTTAGATTTTCTTCATTTTTTAAAATTCTTTTTTCTTTGTTTTTTGTCTGCCTGGGTTATTTCAAAAACACTGTCTTCAAAAATCAGAATTCTTCTGCTTGTTCTAGCCTGCTGCTTAAGCTATCAGTTGTGTTTTTTATTTTGTTGAGTGAATCTTTCAGTTCCATGAGTTCTGCTACATTCTTTTCAAAGGTATTAACCTCTTTGTAAATTTTTTCCTTTATATCCTGGATTTTTTTCTTATTTCATTATATTGTCTGAGTCTTCTTGTATCTTAGTGAGTTTCCTTAAGATTGTTGCTTGGAATTCCTTTTCAATGATTTTAGGGCTTTCCTGCTGTATAGGGTCTGGTATTTGAGAATTACTGTATTCTTTTGGTGGTGTCATATTTTCTTAGGTTTTCATATTTCTAATATCTCTATGTTGATGTCTGGTCATCTGGTAGAGCAGTTGCTGCTTCTATTACTCTGGGGTGGGCTTTGAGTAGAGAGATGTCCTTTTATTTTTCCAGTCTCCACTGGTGACTCTCTTTGTGTCAATGCAGTCAAGTGTCTGGCAGGCTACCTGCATGGTGCCTGTGGCTACTCCTATGGTGTCGAGCCACTTTTGGCCGCAGTTGTGGCTGTGGTGGTGGCTGTGGTGGGCCACCTGTGTGGAAATGGTGTTTTCTGTGTGCTCTCTTGCCTGCTTCCAGTGGAGGGGGCTGACCTCAGCTCCTGCCTAGGGCCCTGGGGATGCTCTCTTGCCTCAGGGTTGATTTCTGTGTTACTAATTCTCATCCAGTGATGTATCTATTGTCTCATAGTACCAGTGCATATTTTTTTAATGGCCATGATATAATTATTAGTATCTTTACTTTAAAAATGAAGAAATATGGTATATAAAACTGGAAGTAATAATTGTTCAAAGAAGGAAATAGCATATTTAAATTTTATAAGAGGTGGCTGGGCTGTGTGGTCAAGGGAGAGAGAAACTGAGAGAGAGGGAGAGGTAGTAGAAACAAGGTAATAGAAAACCATGACAGTAGAGGGATGTCATAGAAATAATGGGATCCTAAAAGGGCTCATGGTTAAGGAAAAGTGGAGGAAGGGAAACCATTCTCTTCTTGCCTGCCTAGTGCACACTTTCAGAGAGTGCCCTTCCCAGACTTTGCTCCTGTTCTTGGGTCCAGGTAGCATTTTTATCCTCTTGCTGTCTCATTCCAGGCCTTCTCCTTCTCCCACCAACTCACACGTCCCAGTACCTTAATTTCTATTCTCTGCAACTTGTAGTTATGTCATCCTAGTGTACATCCAGTATTCTTTTTCTGAGATGTGATTTTTTAGGGAAATGATTTGTATGATCTGCATCTTGACATAGCAGGCATGTTTGGTCTAGTGGTCAAGCCTGGAACTGGCCACAACTAGAAGCAGGTAAGGTTAGCTGAGAGGCTATAGATACCATTTATCAGTGAGGTGAAAAGAACTTGAACTACATTAAAGAGTCAAATGCACAGATGGAAAGGAAAATCTAAAAATTTTGGAACATATATAGAATTTGGCTGTTATTTGGAGATAGAACTCAAGAAGAAGGAAAAGTCCAAAAATAATTTAAGTTGTAAATTTGATGGATTCGAATATTTTTAGGAATTGGAAGTGAGGAGAAAACTGAAAAGAATATTTAAATTTTAACTTATTGTCCTAAGACTGGCTAGTACTTACTACGTGCTTTATTGTCATGCTTCTTGCCCTATTATGGACATACGGATACAATAGTTATTATATGTAAATAGATAGATAGATGTAGATAGATAGATAGATAGTTGTTCTGATATGTATAGAGATAGATAGAATCTGGTAGGGGTGATAATCTTGTAGGGGAGGTATTCCGGTGAAGAATGGCAAAATGCTAATATTACTCTGAGTCTTTGTCTCAATTTTTTTTTTTTTAAATGAGACAAGGACTTCTTTGTGGAATAAGCAATAGAAGAATATGCAAAGGAATTAGTTACTTGCTTTAAAGACTTTTAAATTTTAGCTTATTTTAAGGACTTTTAATTTATAGCCTATTTTTCTATTCTTCTGTCAAACAGCTTATGTGTGAGCTGGGAAATGATGTTGTAAATCGAGTTTATGAAGCTAAAGTTGAAGAAATGGGAATAAAGAAACCACAGCCAGGACAAAGGTACTATTCCAGTTGTCTTAATATCCCACCTTTTTTTCTAATCAGGAATACAGCTATGATTTTATTTCACTGAAATTGATACATAACATTGACACAGTGTTTTGAAGTAATTATTAGTTTCTATTCAAATATGGCTTTTTCTTGGGTATGTTAATTAGATAATTATATTTTATTGAGCAGATAATCAGTTACAGTCTCTAGATGAGAGACAATCTTAAATATTAACATTCTACGTTGGAATTGCTCTTAGCAGTTGAAATAGACCGAAGTTCTGTTAGTGGCAGGCATTCAAAAAAGGATAATCTGTTCATTAATCTCTCCACAGATCAAGTTTCTATTACCTACAATGAATAATTTTACATTGTTTGCCTTAGTTCAGCAATATTTGTTACTCACATACTTCATGCATGGCATTAAGATGATGAAGAATCAAAGATGAAAAGGGTAGCTCTAGGAGAGAGTGCTTAATAGCTATGTTTGAAATTGTACCTCCAATTCTAAATAAGGAGGCTCATTGAACGAAATGAATAAGTGTCAGTGACTTCAAGGCACATATTTTTTGTTGTTGCGGCTGTTTTTAGTCTTTATAATTCTTTATTTTTAACATTAAATTTTTATTTGCCATAATCCTATGTTGAGAATTTATGTTTGACTAAATCTTTATGTATAATCAATACTATTTTAACATTATTGCTCTTTAAAACAATATTATTTAAATCAAAATATTATTTACTAAACCATTGGTGTTTATTTCAGACCTGGAAATAGTTTTCTATTTTATCCAAAGACTTAAGCATTTTAAAAGGATATAGGTAAGAAAAGTATAGAACAGACTTGGCATTTTATGAAGTTTAAATCAGAAGTTTAAATGTGACATCCCCCTGCTTCCCTCTTAAATTAGGAATGTTATGTTGTTTTAAAGTAGTTGATTTATGAAATATTGTTTCCATCAGTAATGTTAGTTTAGTATGTGACATTATTTCTTCAAGTAAAAACAAAATTAATTTCTATGAATTTTTATAGTTTTCCTGGTATTTTTTTCATTCTGCAAAAAGCATGAGAGAACAAGTCTAGAAAAAAATAAGTGCAGAAATTAAGAGAATAAAAGTGTGCAGTGTTAATAGTGATTTTTCAGTTAGGTTATTATTTGTATTTCATTTGAATGTAAAATCATAGTTCATTAAATATTTGGAGGAATACATGTTGTATAATGTCACAGATTCATTTTTAATTTGTATTACATTCAATGACTTTGAAAATATTCAATATAAAATAGCTACTTTTCAGTATTAGCCATGCTAAGGGATTAAGCAGAACATTATGACATTTCTATGTATACCAGACAGGAGAAAGAGGCATATATCAGAGCAAAATATGTGGAGAGAAAATTTGTGGATAAATATTCTATGTCATCATCAACTCCTGAGCAGGAAAAAAGGATTGTCTCCAAAAGTTGTGAAGAAAAGAGGCTGAGCATTTCTAAACTTGGGCCTGGTGACCAAGTCAGAGCATCTGCCCAAAGTTCAGGTATTATACCTTTCTTGTTGTGTATATAAATATTTTCTTAAGTTGAAGTCACTTTCATCATCATTGAATTAGTGGATATTGTAGGTTTCTTTTTTTAATGCTAAAACCTGCTTCTTTCTACATATTCAAAGGAAAAAGTGGATTTCTATGTCTTTAATACAGTTAAATTTAGATAGTGCCATGATAATTCACATTTCTAGGTAACATGTGTATTCAAAAGAATAAAACTGCTTAAAATGCAAGGGGAGATGGGAATTATAATTCTACCATGCCAAAAGCCCTAAGTATCTGATTAACTACCTGATTTCCTTCCTATTTTTTCCTCCTAAATTTTTCCCAGTAATGTTTTTTCCTGCCCTTTCCCTTCTTACGGCCTGCTTTGTGCTTTGCTAACTTGCATGTCCCCAGTGGTTGCTGTAAATAGCGACGAGGCCAGGCGGGAGTCTCTGTTCTGTCCTGATGAGCTAGATTCACTCTTCTCCTACTTTGATACTTCTTCAAAACTGCGTAGTAGTAAGTACTACTCTTGTGGAGCATTCCAACTCTGTGCCAGTGGTCATTGTGCAGTGTGGCCATTTCTCTAGATGTTACCCATTGTCTCAGAATTACACATTACTTACAGCCATACAATAAATTAAGCTCTTTACTGCCCCTGACTTTTTATGGATAATGTGATGTGTTACAACTCTGAAAATAAGCTTATTTTCAGGCTTTGTGATTCATTTATATCTTGATAAGCTAAGTGTGCTAAAGGACTAAAATTGCATTAAGTGTATTTTACTGGTTTTGGCTGAGTCCATGGTAACGTGTAACAGCTCATTTTAAAATTGTTGTTTGTGGGAAATTCTTCTCTAAATGATGTGAACTTTAATCACTAGTCAATTTTTCTTCAAAACAGTCAAAAGTAATGACAGCGGAATTCAGCAGAGCTCTGATGATGGAAGAGAATCTTTACCCTCCACGGTATCAGCCAATAGTTTATATGAACCTGGTGAGTTTTGATGAAATTCAATGTTAATTGGCATTGTTTGCTGAAAAATGCATGTGGTCAATGCCTAGTCTTGGTTAAATAGTTTCTAAAGGAAGAGATTAGTCTTTTAAAAGGTCCTAGGGGAGGAGTAATGCTGTTAAATGAGAAAACAGCTATTTCTCTTTATATTTGGAAGTTCACTCCTAGGTGTACATTCTTCTAAGCCTCATGATATGTGCTAAAAGTGCTTTACCAATAGCTAAATATAATTTTTAACTCACACGAATTATCTTATGATTCTTTATCCTTCCTTGTGACTATCTTTTCTTATCAGGAGAAAGAGATCAACAACAGCCTCTCCATTCAGTTATTCTTTTGACCTGTTCTTTATTTCTATATTCCCTCCACTATAATTTCAGTGATTTTTGTCTTACAGAATATTCAGGGGAGTAAGCACTCTTTGAACTATTTGAACTGCTTATAGTGTAAATTGTGATATTATTGGACCATCCTAGGAATCAAATGAGATTTGATATAGGAGTAAAATTCTTTACAGATTTTTGCTGCGTCTTAAGTCCAGGTTTATAGGAATATGTCCAATTTTAGTCTAGTATAGAGTAATTAACCTGTCCGTTGGATGCTGGCAAGGCTACAGAAAGCCTGGCATACCAGTTGACGTTTTTATAAGTGAAGGTTGAATCTTTAGGGAGTGATCAGTCCATAGGAAGTAAGATATCTTTGGGAAAATCTCCCATAAGCTCATGTGATAGGTTAATGGTTTCTTATATCACAGCTTTCATATTGTGATAAGTTTAGGAATTCATTTATTTACTTTTAATTGTGGTAAAATACACATAACATAAAATTTACCATCTTAACCATTTTTAAGGGTCTACTTCAGTGGCATTAAATGTATTCACATTGTTGTGCTGCCATCACTACCATCTGTCCACAGAATGCTTTCATCTTGTAAAACTGAAACTCTGTACCTGTTAAACAATGCTCTTCCTCCTTGCCAAGAGCTCAATTTTATTGACATATTTGTGTTTATTTTTCAGAAGGAGAGAGGCAAGATTCTTCTGTGTTTCTCGACTCTAAACATCTTAATCCAGGACTTCAGCTTTATAGGGCTTCATATGAAAAAAATCTTCCTAAAATGGCTGGGGCTTTGGCTCATGGTGCAGATGTGAACTGGTCTAATTCAGAGGAAAACAAAGCAACACCACTGATTCAGGCTGTTTTAGGGGTATGAATTTATACATTGAGATTTTCGGTGGCAGTAAAATATAAAAAATTAAAATGCATTCTGAACATGGCTTTTAAGTATTATTTTTTGCTTTAAGAGATGAGTTGGAAAATAGAAGAGCCTCTGTGCAGCTAGTAGTGATTTCTGAGCATAAGCTTGATTGCTTCAGCTATTTTTTTTCATAACGGAAGAGAATTCTGATAATGAAAGTAATGTGTTTTGCTAGATCACAAACTGCAAATGAACCCTTATTAGAAGTAGTACTTGGGAAGAAAACAGTGTAATTTATCATTTCTCTGATTTTGCTGGGGGTATTTTTTCTTTTGGGGAAAGGAAATGGAAATGCTATTTGAGTAAAGTAAATAAAACTATACTGTTTTTTTTTTTTTGTCCTTTTTGAGACCGGCCGCACCACGCTCAGCCAGTGAGTGCTGTGAGCACGCACCGGTCATCCCTATATAGGATCCGAACCTGCGGCGGGAGCGCTGCTGCGCTCCCAGCGCTGCACTCTCCCAAGTGCGCCACGGGCTCGGCCCAAAACTATACTGTTTTTAAATAGAAATGTATTGTTGTTTGTTGTTTGCTTTTGTACATTGTTATTCTTTTTTTTCCTTCAAGGGCTCTTTGGTGACATGTGAGTTCCTCCTACAGAATGGTGCTAATGTGAACCAAAGAGATGTCCAAGGGCGGGGACCACTGCACCATGCCACCGTCTTAGGGCACACAGGGTAACTATAGTGCATAAATATTTAAGTAGATTTTATTTGAAAAATTATTTTGAAATAATGTTTTGCTTTTTCTTAGGTTAAGGTCATCAGGTAGAGTTTGTAAAGAGATGTATTCCTGTGACTTATATTGTTGTGATGGAATTTGAAGGTTAAAAAATCTCATTCAGAAGAAAGCTACTGTTAGTTTTCAGATATGAAAATTGCAAAGCTTACTTTGACCTTAATTTGTCATTAAACAGATCAGTTTTAGTACCTAACCTCTTCTTTTACTGAAATTGTGGCGATTTTGTCAGACAACTTAAATCTGTGTTTGTGTGTATTTATGCATGTACACATACATTATCTATATAGAATGCACACATACAACCTATTTTGGGAGAATTTTGTAAATTTGGAATTTGTAGATTTTCTACAGGGTAGCTAAAGTCAAATTCTAAACTAAATTCTTAATTTGGACTGTTAACATTGTGGCTTCTGGAACAATATTAGGATTCACAGAACAATAAAACCTCAAAAACAGGCTTTCTATTAGAAAGTATAAATGAAGTTGAAATGTTGGCCTTATTATGAAAAGTTTGTGTCATAGGTGATTTTTTTTTTTTTTTTGTCCTTTTGAGACCGGCCGCACCATGCTCAGCCAGTGAGCGCTGTGAGCGCACCGGTCATCCCTATATAGGATCTGAGCCCGCGGCGGGAGTGCCACTGCGCTCCCAGCGCTGCACTCTCCCGAGTGCGCCACGGGCTCGGCCCATAGGTGATTGTTTTTTAATGAAACATCTCAAGGAATCCAATTATTATTTTCTGGATAAGCAAGAAGCTGGTTAAAACAATTTTTTTTTTTTAAATAGCATCTTCTATTTTTATCGTAACTTGTTTTTTTTTTCCTTTATCAGCAAAGAGATTCAGTTCAATAACTTCATCATAAAAACTTTTCTATACTTAAAAAAGGTAGTATTTAACTCATGCTTTGTATTTAAACTATCATAATTCTTCCCATTTTATTTTATAGGCTCTATTTACTCATTCTTTCATTTTTTACAATTTTTGTCAATTTATTCAAGTTTTGAATATTTGTAGAGTATGCAGGAAGACTATTTTCCACTCTTTGCTGTTGTATTATCATTAATATATTATGATTGCCTTGGCTTCCTTAATTACCAAATAATGACCTTGGGTGATCTTTCTTTTGTTTAAGTTTATAGATATCTGTGTACATCTTTTTATGATATTATTTGAGGATCAGGACCATAATTTCTATATCCCACTGTTTTATATAGCATAAGATTAAATAAGATTAAGATAATATATATGAAAATGCCTTGAGACTTGTAAAATGTTGATCTTGGTAAATTTTTATTATTGGTGTCAGTGTTCAACAAATGTTTGTAGAATGAATCAAGAATTTCCTAATGGAAATATTATTTCTTTAAGTTAGGTAGTGTTTTTTATTTTTTAAGGTGAATACTAATTTTTTTCTTGTTGGCAATATTTCAATAACACCGTTTCTTTAAACAGGCAAGTGTGTTTATTCCTAAAACGAGGTGCCAATCAACATGCCACTGATGAAGAAGGGAAAGATCCTTTGAGTATAGCTGTGGAAGCAGCCAATGCTGATATAGTAACCCTGTAAGTATTTTCTTTATAATTGATTGTTTCCCATACAATGTATTACTTATACAGGGTTTTAACATAGAGTTTTATGCATATGTGTGAATTTTAAACTTGGTTAGTAATTACTATGTGCCATGTACTAAGCACATTAAATGTATTAAGCACTTAAAATGAATGAACTTATTTGGTTATCATGACAACCCTCTGAGGAAGACAGTATTATTGCTATCTTCATTTTATAGATAAGGAAGCCAAGCTACAGATAATTTGCAAAATTAGTATGTATTGGAGCTGGAATTTAAAACAAGAATTCTGCGGGCCAGCCCGGTGGCGCACTGGAGAGTGCGCCGCTTGGGAGCGCGGCAGCACTCCCGCCGAGGGTTCAGATCCCATGTGGAGACCGGTTCCCCCTCACTGGCTGAGTGTGGTGCGGGCGCAACACCGAGGGTTGCGATCCGGATACCAGTCAGTAAAAAAGACAAAAAGGAAAAAACAACAACAACAACAAAAAACAAGAATTCTGCGGGCCAGCCCGGTGGCGCACTGGAGAGTGCGCCGCTTGGGAGCGCGGCAGCACTCCCGCCGAGGGTTCAGATCCCATGTGGAGACCGGTTCCCCCTCACTGGCTGAGTGTGGTGTGGGCGCAACACCAAGGGTTGCGATCCCGTTGCCGGTCTCTGGTACGGGCTCGATACCGAGGGTTGCGATCCCGATACCAGTCAGTAAAAAAGACAAAAAGGAAAAAACAACAACAACAACAAAAAACAAGAATTCTGACTCTAAAACTCATGTTCTTAGCCACTTCTGCTATACTGCCTGATCAGTAGAAACAGAAAACCTGTAACTTCTGTAAACTGTTTTCTTTAACTCTTGGTATAGCATTAGGGCAGGGGTTGGGATTGGTAGCGTAATTATTCTACTACCTCGAGAATTAGAGGACTTTAAGTAGGGAAGACAGCTGCATTGATGTTAGTAACTTGTGAAATTGCGTTGCCTTTGGGCAGTGATAATTAGGAATTGGTGCTTATTTTGGGGGGAATTATCCACATTAATGCCTGCTTAATTTTAAGATTAAAAATACATGCTTTTGAATGTTTGAATGTAATTTAATGTGATCTATTAAAGAATTTTGAGGTCTTAATTTGACTTACATCTTAGGTCATAGAAGATTATTACACATGGAATCTAGAAATGTGATTGTTACCTATACTTAATTGTTATGTAGGAAATCTCAAGCATGTTTTGTATCAAATCACTTATTCATTCTATTCTGGGCTAAATGAAGCCCAGAATTGGTGATCTCTCATCGTTTGTGTAGAAGTACGTTCATCTATGCTGCTGAATCTCAGTCACTTACAAAAAGAAACTCCCATGGCTGCCTTGAACTCCTGAGCTCCCACTGAGAATTCTTGACTTAAATCTCCCCTCCCTGACCTCTGCCAAATTAAAAGACAAAACAGAATAGCAAGGCATACTTTCCTTATACTCAGTGTCCTTTCCCCAATGAAGGGGTTGTTATTGTGGAGGCTATTGTCGGAAAATTTTAGAACTTAGATCATTATAGATTTAGAATAGGAGAAAGATAAGTTATTAAAGAAAAGATAGGGATAGTATAGAGAAAACAACTCTGGATGCAGCTTCCCAGGCAATTCCTACATAGCAAAAATACCTATTCCCGAATTCTTTAAAGTTTTTCTTTTTACCTTGTGTGAGGACTTCAGTTTCACTTAAGAATTTTTGTAAATAAGCATCTTCTCTAAAAATCCAAATAATAAAGGGAAGATTTATAGAGATATTTTTAATTCACATACTGGTTGAGAAAGGAGATGAATGGAATTGTGGTTATCTGAAGATGGGAAGGGCCGTGTCAGTGCTGCAGTTGCTGGGGAGAACACGTCAGAAGAGTGTGATAGAAGTCTGGGAAGGTGATGGGTATTTGATGGCCCAAAAGGACAGGCAAGAAGTACAAAGTAGGAAAGGGTTATTAAAGACAATATTTGCCTGTTTCAAAATGTTGCTAAAAGGTAGTAAAAAAAATAATGGGAGGAAATACTTGTCTTCTTAATCCAGTGCTACGTGTCTCCTGCTGCCAGGATGAATAACCTAAAAATGAGTGTATAACCAATATGGTAACCTTGGAAATCTTGGTAACCTCTAGTCACTTGTTATAATGTTTGTATATCAAATATATATTCCCAGTATTTAGAGGTAACACATGCTATTTATACATCTGGAACTATCACCTCAGGGTGAACTAGAATGAACTTATAACAGGGTATTGCTTCCACTGTGTAGAAGCAATAATTTCAGCAGTTGGCAGTTAAAATTTGACAGGTTGCTGTAGGAACCAGGAATTCTCTGGAGTCTGGAGGAAGCAAGCTGCTAGAGGTGTTGCAGGGATTCTGCTTAAATAGAGCTGAAATGCATTTGTCAGAAATCTGTCTTTTCTCATGAGAATTGTATGAAGGTGAGATATTTTTGTATCTCAGATTGCTGGGTCTGATAAATTAAAAGCCAGTTTATTTTAATGGTAAATACCGGTAAAAGAAAAAAATTACATTAGTATATGTATTACTTGCTTATGTACTTTATCTATAAACATTTATATTGTATAACTTCATCTAAAACGTCTTTTTATTCTATTTTAGGTTACGTTTAGCAAGAATGAATGAAGAGATGCGGGAATCAGAAGGACTTTATGGACAGCCAGGTCAATATTCAACTAATAATCATACTGAAATGCAGTATAAGAAATGCATTCAAGAATTTATCAGTTTACAATTGGAAGATTCATAGTTTATCACTTTAGCAAATGAATGTGATACTATAGAGTTTTTATAACCTACTTGTAAATTGTGAGTTGTTAGCTACGTACTGTACTTGCTGAATTCTTGGGTGGCTAATCCTGAGCCTTTAAAAATAACTATTCCTATTACAGTACACATTTACTTGATCTATTTAATTTTGGCTGCTGTCTTCTTTATCTGCTGTACAGATGTCTTCCATATACATTCCAGTGAAGTTAATGGAATGATAAAATTATTCTTTATATACTTACAGCAGCAAAATAGTTGTTTTCTTTTTGGAATTCATTTTAGCTATCAAGTGAATATAACAAAATAGTTTTCTTTTTGTTATTCAGGGAATTTCTATAAATTGTGTTCAGGGAAAAAAAGCAAATCACCATGTGTTTGGCATATAAAAAGTCAGTATGGAAAATACCAAGAAAAAGTTTATTGATGAGTTTTGTACTCCATTCTAAAAATGAGTTGAAGATTTAAAATAAAAATTTATCTGTAGGTTGAGAAGTTCATAATGGAAGTGGTTAGTTTAAAAGGTTGAGGAAAAAGGTCTCATTTTATCTTTAGCTTTGCCCCAAGCAATTGTACAATATCTGTTGAATAAGCAGAAGTATTTAAAATAGTATTTTGTGAACCTAATGGCAAAGTAGACTTATTCTTATAAGAGAAATCTCAAGTCATGATCACCTCAAGTTTTATTTTGAATAATTTTCACCTTTGAATCAAGATGTCAAGAAAAGGAAGAAATGTTGCTGGTCAGATTCTTGTCTTTGATGAACACATGCTGATTAGACTTCCTTCACAAAGAAGAGAATGATTATTGGATCTCTAGTTTCATGAATTTGCGTATATGAATTACTAATCTATCTGTTTTAAATTCATATACATATTAGTAAAAAAATTTCAGGAATTCATGACTAAAATACTTGAAAATGTTCAGTTTGCAATGAGTATAGAATTTGATTTTTTAAAAATGAATATTGATACATTTTTAAAGTGGCCTGGTAATATCATCTATTCTTCATGTTTAAATATGTTTTGAAATTTCTGTATGCTAGGTTCAGCCATTTACTTAATTTTATCCAGATTAATATGTAAGTAATATCAATGTGGGGCCATTCTTTTCTTAGAAGTCTGTATTTACTGCTTAGTTTTAGCCTTATTTAATAGGGAACCACTAAGAACTTCGAGAATAGAGGCACTTCAGCTAGATACTTCTAATCTCGGGTGTTCCACTTTAATCCTATGGATCAGACAGTATTAGTGACTTATGATATTCCAAGACAAGATGTAAGAGTGCTGAGTAAGGGTGAACCTCTAGCATTAATTCTGGATTTCACCCATTTTTTTAAAACTTGAATATTAAGTTATAATTTTGTAACATATACTTAAGTGATAGTAGTATTACTAGGCCATTTTTGAGGCCTTTGTGTTTAAGCACTTTAAAATAAAAATTGTTCAAAGGGTATGACCTGATATTTGTGAGATAAGAGTGAACTTCAAGATTTTTTTTTTTTTATGTGACTGGTAAGGGGATCGTAACCCTTGGCTTGGTTTCGCCCGCACCGCTCTCAGCCAGTGAGCGCACTGGCCATCCCTATATAGGATCCGAACCCGTGGCGGGAGCGCCGCTGCACTCCCAGCGCCGCACTCTCCCGAGTGAGTCATGGGGTCGGCCCTGAACTTCAAGATTTTTTGTTAGACGTTTTTTTCCCCTAAAATTTTAGATATAAATGTTTGGTCAGCTGCTCTTTCTTTAAGGCATTTGCTGAGGAAGTTCACCCAACCGATAGAAGGTCAGTGGTCGACTCTTCTCTGGAGTTGGGAATCTTGAAAGGACAAGGCTTGTATGTTCTTGTCACCTCTAGTTCCACCCAAATTGCTTGGGCTTCTGCTGCCATCATTTAGTAGCATTTGAATGTCTCTTTCACTGTTATTTATGTGTAAGTATATACAGTCATCCCTTGGTATCCATGGGAGATTGGTTTCAGGACCTCCTGCACATACCAAAGTCCACAGATTCTCTAGTCCCTAATATAATAAAGTGGTGTTGTATTTGCACATAATCTACGCACATCCTCCCATATACTTTAAATTATCTCTAGGTTACTTTATAGTACTTAATAAAATGTAAATGCTATGTAAATAGTTATTATATTGTATTTTTTAATTTGAATTTTTTCTTGTATTATTATTTTTTATTTTATTTTTTAAAAAATATTTTCAATTCATGGTTGGTTGAAATTGCAGATGTGGAACCTGTGGATATAGAGGGGTGACTGTATATTAGTATATACTTTCCATTCATCAGTAGAAAAATAATTTTTTCAATTTATTTTAATGAAAATTTGAAAAAAAGCCTCATTTTAAAACAAGCTTTCTTACCATTCCCAAATTTTAGTTTAGAGGTTTAAAAAATAGATTAGCATTCTGGAAATAGTGTATCAGAATGAAATGAAATTTTTTGATCTATTTGAGGATCATCTTGAAAAGAATTAGATTTTTAACTCATTCAAAGGGCCTTATATTTTAAGCAGAATAATATTGGCGTGGTGAAATGGCAAAGCGATTGCTCTCTGATTTCTTTTCCTTTATGAGTCTTTGGGGAGCAGCTTTGTTTGGCTCAGACAGCAGCTCTTTGTTTTTCCTCAGCCTATCACTATAAATTTTTCTTTCATAGACATTGGTTGATTGTTTTATCAGAATCCTTTTTTGGTTGTCCTAGTAATAGAAAGAGAGCCTTAGAACTCTGGGTTATTTTTAAATGCAGATTTTCAGTCTTTTGATAATGAAGAGCTCTGTCATTTAAAAGACAGATATAATCTTTGACAATCATGGATGTATTTCTAGGAAACCCCACTTTTGAACTTCTGTATATAACCCTGAAGACCTGGGACTCCCTATTTTTTGCAAGATGATGGAAGAGCACACTTTTTCTGAAGGGAGGATGTGTCTCTCTTCAGCTTTCTCTACAACTCTTAAGAGGCTTGGGTGGGTGAGGTATTAAATAGCACACCTGCTTTCAGTTGTTGGAAACCATTTGGTAGTTCCCACAGATCTGGCTCTGTGACTTTTTTTGATCATTGGCAGGTTCTCAGCCAACTGAAAATCACTGCTTTAGGGAACCACTTCTTGTTATGTAAGTGTGTAGCAGGCAAAGGTTGGAAATCACTGATCTAATCAGTTATAAAAGGAAGCTGCTACCAACCCACAAGGGGCAGATTGTGCATATGATCACCTGGGGGTGGGTCTTACATGCTGCCTTCCCTATGAGGAAGTACATTTCAAGAATAAAATAAGCCAACTCTTGAATCATCATAACTTTTGTTGTGGTGGATATTCTGGATACCAAAAATTAAAAACAAATTTAAACTGTCAGTGGAAACACAGCAGCCTACATTTAAAAAATTCGGAACTGTTCAGGCACATAGAAAAGGTAACTCTCTAAAGGGAAATAGAATGTGGTTAAGTAACTTAAAGAATGCTTAAAGAATAAGCATTACAAATAGTGGGTAATTAGTTGTTTACCATTTATGATAAATTGTTAAATGTACTTTTGGGAACATTCCAGGACAGCATATTCTGGGTTGTTTATGTGTTCTAGTATAGACAAATTATATTTCTCTTGAGAAAGATCCTAAGCGATCAAAATTATATTTAAATTTTAAATGATCACATTGAAGTTCACTTTGTGTTAACTATAGTAAATATCTTAGTCACTGTTGTTCTTGTAACATTTGCTTTGACAACACATTCTGAACTCTAAGAAAGATAGTGTATTAACAGCATATTAATTAACGTTTTGTTAGAAACTAAATGTTAAAAAATTTTGTGTGTGTGTGAAGGTACAAACTTCCTTGTGTATTGTATTAACTCTTTTTAACTGTGTTCAGTCAGTGAAACCAATGATTATTATAGCACCAATGTTTTCCTTCAAGGAAGCATTTAGTTCAGTGAATGAAAGGTCTTAATAATTTGTTTTGCATGGTACAGTGGTTCTACTAAAATGTACTTCTGTAATAGGTAGTAGATGATTCAAAAACGAAAACTGGAAAACCATAAAAAACTCACAGCTTGTTATACAAAATATGCATTGCTACTAGTAGAAGCCATATATTGCCATTGTACTGTTGTAATACTTAATTATGCTTTTCTGGTGCTATTGGTAAACTACTTGGTATTAACGTCTGCTAGATCTTTTCTCCTATTTCTTCTTGAATGTATAATGTGTGCCTTTTAAGTTACTTTTCGTGTTGAATGGTAAAATTGGTGTGGTATTTTTGTATTATAACCTGCACTTTACACTTTCTTGGAAAGTAAAATTCCAGACTGTCCAGTTTAAATAGTATTTTTTAAAATAACTATAATGTTTACAATAAATATTTTAAATATTTTAATTTAACATCTAAGAATAAGAAAAATTTAAAAATATTTTGTATGGTTTGTTAATTTCTATTTAATGTTGCTCTTTTCTCAGTTAATTTTATATCTTTAGAATGGCTAAAAATGGGAATAGATTGTAGTTTGTCAATTAATGTGGAAGTAAACTTTTAAGAAGTCATGGGTATAATTGGATTGTCTTACCAGTTGTTCTGGTTTATTAACCTTTAATTTTTACTAACAATGATATGAGTTAGATGTTACTCTCAGCCAAACTATTAATATTCTCTTCTTGTTATTTTTTTTTTTAAGTAGATTGATTAGGTTTAATTGATTGATTCAGGTCATGAATAAATTTCCAGGGCTAAATGAAAACTATATAGAGATTTTAATAAATTGCTTTTTACATAGACTAAATATGAAAAGTGATTAAATATTAAAAGTATTAAATTTTTTATTGAAAATCTTGGGTTATGCTGTAAAACCTTTTTACTAGATCTTTATCCCCCTACCCCAACTCTTTTCTAATTCTCTAGCTTTTGGTATAACATCTATTGCCTCAAAAATCTCGCTTTTTAAAAACTGAAAAGACTTACTGCACTATTTAACAGCAACTGTAGTAGTTTGTTATAAGATGGATGCAAGGTGTCTTATGGGAAATAATTATAAAACTATGTTGCAACAATAATTATCTAAAACAATATTTTATGGTTTTTAATATTGAGAACAGAATTATGCCAAGCATCTGTATAAAGCTGTTTAGCAGAAAGCATTCATTATGAATGACTCATCTTGAAAATAAAATTCCTTTGTCTGAGGAATTAATCTGTATGTGTGTACATATTTAGTTGCTCATGGCAAGAAAAGTATTCATTCTGCTATAATATCTATCTAATCTTCTCTGTAAGTGTATTTGTAGGTATTACTCTAATTTAACAGATGCCTTCGGCGTTTCTTCTCATTTTGTCATAGCATTCTTGCTCATACGACCTTCAGTAAATAAACTGCTGACTAAATGTGAAACTATGATTTAAAGTCATTTTCTAGACTTTAATTTTATAAGCTTAGTAAGCAGCAGAATCGGTATATTAGTAATTTAGCATTAAAGTCTGAGTAAAGAATTACTTTCTTACATGCTATTTTAATTTGTTCCTTTCAATTAAAATATAGTATTAAAATAGGAGGCTTCCCTCTGCCTGATTATGTTTGTCTTGTTAATAACTTGCATCCATCATAAATATTGGTATTTGGTTGTGGTCATTTCTTTTAGCCTTTATCAAGAGAAATATTTATTTAAGGAATGTCTTGTTTATACCTCATTTAGAATTACTTTTATTTCTCATGTATTAATAAATGTATTTCCTTACATTGCTTTAAAACACTTGCATCTTTGCTCTTTTCTAACTCTGAACTTTCCTCTCTGGCTGCATCTGAGGTGCTTTTCTCAGGTATAGTCTTTTTTATTTTTATTTTTTCTCTTTCATTGTATACTTTTCTGGCATTTATATTTAGTTGGCCTTTTTCCTTCCAAAAATGCTCACCTGAACAAATTTTTAATGTAATGAATTATAAAATAGTTACTAGTCATAAAAATGAATGTTTTATTAATACTTTGTATAAATTTTAAAAGTGTCCTTATTTTACTTTCATACAGGTGATGAAACTTACCAAGACATTTTTCGTGATTTTTCCCAAATGGCATCCAATAATCCAGAGAAACTAAAGCGTTTCCAGCAAGATTCACAGAAATTCTGATTTTTTTAAGAAGGGAAAACTATGAAATCTGGTAACTCCCTAATGGATACAGCTGAAAACTCACAATTTTTACCGCTTTTATTCTACTTACTTAATTTTCATAGATATTGAATGGTTTGGAAAAAAGATTACCCATTCATTGATATTTTTATAAATTAAAAACATGGATATCTAGTAGTTGGGAAAGGAACCTGCTTTAGGCCCTCTTTTATTAAAAAAAAAAAGCCTGCTTAAAGGGCTATTTTTTAATAAATAAAAGTTGAATCTAGATTTAGGCCATCTTTAGGTTAGAAGATGCTAAGAAATTAGACAAAATCTCGACAGCATTGATTTTTTTGCCATGTACCGTGCCCAGGATCATTCAGTCAAGCATGTCTACATCAATTGGGAGCTACTGCCGTGCCTGCCTCAAGAATATGTTTTTTCTTTAGTTTCCCTGATGAATTTTGGTGGCTCAGAGATATGTGTGTTTTATGTTTGTGTTTGGTAACCTAGCTGTCATACATACAATGTATAATTTAGTATTAGAACTAGAGAATATGTTTTCCCCATTTGCTCATAAATGTGGTTATACTCCTTAGATGACAGGTTATTGTCCAGTACTTTAACATACATAGAATGGCTATATAAGTAGACCATAGTTAAGTCTGTTAGATTTATTCCATCTTATTAAGCAAAAAGGTCTTATTAATTTTTTTTTTAATCATCAAAAGAATCCCAGTTCTGAAGCTGTAGTTCTTCATTGATGGGTTGATTTCCTAAAACCCTGACAAATTTATCAGTGTAATAAAAGTGTAACTTGAATGTTGCAAAATTATACTTTCATCGAAATACAAGTTGATTTATAAAATAATGTAGGGCATTTTTATATTTGAATTTTGTCTTTAATATACATTTTTGCTGTTTCTCCTAGTGAATGAAAAATGGAGGGAAAATTTTTTTTTTCTTAGTTTTATACTAAAATATACAGCAATAAATTGCTCTTTATTTTATCCTGTGTATATGTACACAGTATATGTGCTTTTAAATTACATGTATATATAGCTTTAGTATTTGGTTACATGAACCAGACCCTTGAATTTCCAAGTATTACAGATATACTTATTTACCATTTATATTCTGCAAATTAGTTTGATTCCATCTTTGATTGACATGTCTCATTAAGAGTATAGAATAATTAATAATTTGCCTATGGTTCCTTTCCAATGTTGTCAACAATTAAATTTAATCTTCTTTTAGGAATTATATGTAAGTAATAGTAGTTCCTAAATAGTTAGTAATAGATAGTTCCTAAATAAGAGATTTTTAAACTTGTGAAAGAGAAATTATATTTAATTAGATAAGTTTTGTAACATTTTCCCCTTAAAAACTAGTTTTATAAATTCAGTCAATGTCAAATCTGAATCTATGTAAGCAGGAATGATACTGAAGTAAATTCTTATCACAGAAAATGTTCCATAATTTGGCCAGATTGCATGCATGTAATTCTTTATTTAGTAATAGTCACTATACATGAAGGATAAAAATGTATTTGTGAGTTATTTCTGAGGAAATGCTAACTTCCAAGGCATTGTATTTTAATTATAATAATTACAGGGACATTAAATCTTTCCTGTTTCAAATCAGGGTCACAGATCATCTGGTTTTTTAGGTGCTTTATCTAAAGGCAAAAATCTGATTTGTAACATTTTTTTTAGAGTGTACTTTGAAATTGTTTGAAAAGCTGAAGGAAAATAAATGTTAAAATAAACAGAAAGAGCGAAAGATAAGAAAAAAGAAAGCCCCACTTTTTCTTTGTAGCACCTGTTCCTGTTTTTATCTTAGAATTTCACTCCTAAAAATCCTGACCTTTAGCTGAGGAAGTCTAGGCAGATTTCCTTTGGATTCAGCCATTTTGGCTTCAGATCACCTCTGGGATCTCTGTGGTTGTGAAGGCAATTCCTTGTAACACTCTTACCTCCTGTGGTTTGAGTTATGAATTGTTAGTGTGACAGTAATTAGAGTCTACTTAAATTTAAATGGTTAGAGATTTATTTGAAATGCCCTAAAAATGATCATGGTTCGGGATATCTTCAGAGAAAGGCGAATCTTTAATATTGCAGGGAAATACAAAAATACATTTCTGTGGCTTGATTTCTTGAAAGTGGTGAGACCCAGTTTGGAGTAGATTTGGCAGAAATGATGGAGTAAACAGTAAGGCTTTAAATTAATGAGTTATAAGGTAGGTTGGCTTTTAGGTGAATTTAGCTGTGTCAACTAATGGGTTTTATATAGTATGTAACAAATCTGTGTTTTGTTATGCCGTGAATTATTCGTGCATTATGAGAAATTATTGTGTAAACACTGTTAATTGTACTCTTGGGCTTCATTGGTCAAGAGATTGCCCCTTGTTTTCTTTCCATACCTGATCTGCTGATAGTAGTTTTTTTCTTATTAACCATTAGCTCATTAGCTTGAAAGATTAGTATCAAAATAAGAATAGCAGCACTATGAGTTCATAAAATGCAGTTTCGTGTTAGAACTAGACTTAAAGGTGATTAAACAGTTATTTGCAATGCTTCATTGCATCTTTTACATGTTTAAGATTTCTAAGGTTTTAAAAATTACCTTTGGTACAGTCCTTAGAAATTCAGAAATTTCTAGGGATTCACTATATTACAGTGTTTGCCTAATTTACACTGGTCTTCACTGTAGATTTTAATGAACTTTGGCGTTTACTTTCCCAAACATATAGATTTAATTTGGAATATGTACTTTGGTTCTTCATGAGTGCATTTTGGAGAAAAAAAAATTTATACTTTCACAGTCTGGACAACTTGTTTGTGATATGTTAGCGATATTTAAAAAATATAATTTTACATATGTTAAGTATGATCACACTAAACCAAATTGTGTTTAAGACTAAATACCCGTTTTGAATAATCAGACATTCCCAGGTGACTCTTATGTTGTCAGATTAACTTCTACATGACAGCACTTTCAACTATGGACATGGGCTGGAAAAATTATGTTTTTATAGAACTAAATGTCCAGAATGGCTTTAGAGAACAGTATGATATAGTGGAAACAGCACTGGACCAGTAGTCACTACCCTTTTGGATTCAGGACTCCTCACAAATAAAATGAGTGGGATGGAACAAGGTGAAAACATCCCTTTGTATGCCGTATGCTGTTTTCCTACTTACAGTGTACTTTGGCATTACATTATCTCACCTGATTCTCACAGTACGACTTCTGAGATTTAATCTAAGAGCTTCAACGTTGTCTGCTTTTTTGATTCTAGTGTCCTCCTCTTGTTTTACAGAGGAGGTCACTTGTTTTGCTAGTTGGTGGCAGAGCTGACACCATAACCCAGGTCTCACTGACTACTAGTCAGAGGCACTTTACTTGTATCATGAAATTATTTGAAATCATTGTAAAGCAGCAAAATCTGATAATGACTGCCAGCTTTCCTTGTGTTTTAATAACAGAGTCCAAATATTCTGGAGAACCTGGATACAAGGTTTGAAGGAATAGTTGGGCTTTGAAGACATTGAATTGTAGGAAATTTTACATTTTTGCAATAACAAACATTAATGAAAGCAAAACATTGTAAAGGTAATTTAAATTCACCTTACACTTATCAATTTCTTGGTGCTTCTCAATGAAAGATAAGTAAAAGGGGCTTGGATTCAGTTTAGCTGAAGCATGACATCTATAAATATGATTTTGTGGACCTCCTTTTCTGTTTACATAAATTTATCCACTTAAAATGGGATAATGTGGGGAAAAAGCAAGGTTTGATTAAATAAACTTTTTCTGTATTGTTCTTTTCACTATATTGTTTTCTAGGTTTTCTTAATTTTTCTCAAACTCCCCCCCTCTTGAGTGTTAATTTTAAACAGGGAAAGCTTGCTACATTATAAAGATTGTTGGCATGATTTATTTTACACAAAGGCTAAAGGTTAACTTTCGGAAATGATGAGTTACTTTTCTATATGTGTTTACTTGTACTGTGTGATATTTCTGAATCATTCCAGTCATAAAAACTTATACATGTAATATTTCTTGCTACATGTGAAAAGGTATATTTTAAAGAATGTATAACAAACACTCCATTTACTTTTTATTAGTATGTAGAAGATTTGTATCTAATTCATGAATGTAGTTTTACCATAGTTTGTCATTGTAAATGGAACAAAATACATTATCTTTATAGTTATTCTAAAATGTACATTATGTAAGAATTGTAAATATTATACTTAAGTACTTTGTATGCTGAAAAATTATCAATAAAAATCTCACCTCTGGCATAGTTCTTTTTTGCTCAGACTTCCACTTTCTTGTGAACTACGCTACAGGCCTGTTAACGTCTGCTATATTTAAGGTACTATATTTCTTTCCAACCCTTTCAAATTGACCTACATTGATACTATTTGCTGATTAAAAGACCATTTTCTTCTTTTACATATTTTCTTCTGTCTAATCACAGAGCTGTATGATCTCTAATTCATTGGCTAAAAACTGCAAATGGCTTTTTTTGGGGCCCTTGCTCTAATCTTTTTTCCATTATGATTAACTGTTAAAGTTCCTAATCTAGGCAACACATATCACACATGATCCTTTTAGTAAACAAACAAAAAGGTTTTTTTATGTGAATTGGGATTGAAGGAATGGAGGGTTGAAAAAACAGAACTGGAAGCGAATCACTTGCTTTTTCCTTTTCTTTAAAAGTTAATTGAGGGTTGGCCGCTTAGCTGTTAGCTAGAGCGCTGCGTTATAACATCAAGGTCAAGGGTTTGGATCCCATACTAGCCAGCTGCAAAAAATAAAAAATAAAATAGAAGTTAATTGAAAGCAGATACGAACTTTTCTACATTACTTGCTTTAATCAGCTTCATTTCATTTTCATACTAGTCCTGTGAAGAAGAGAACCCACAGTGATGGTCAATAGATATTTTAAATGAAAACAAAACAGGCTACTTTTTCCTTATTGCAAAAACAATGCTTTTTCATTGCAGAAAAATGTTTAAATAATAGTAAGTAAAAAGGAAGACAATCATCCATAATTCCATCAACTATCTGTGCTGCCCAAAATGGAATCCACTAGCCACACATTTTAAATTAACTAAAAATTTAGACAAAGCATTCAGTTCCTCAGTTGTGCTGCCACATTTTAAGAGCTTAGTAACCACGTGTGACTAGTGACTATTGTTTTGAACAGTGCAGATTATAGAACATATCCATCATCACAAGAATTTCTATTGTATTAGAATTTCTGAGGGAAAAACGGTTATTTCCTTGTTATATACCCTTCCAGACCTTTGGGTGTTTGTATTTATACAATGGGATCATACTGTTGTTACCCACTTCTTTCACTTAATAGATGGGAAGAATTTTTAAAAATATTTTTATTATGGAAAATTCCAAATGTATAAAAGTAGAGAGAATAGGGCCGGCCCTGTGGCTCTCTCGGGAGAGTGCAGCACTACTAGCGCCAGAGGCCATGCGTTTGGATCCTATATAGGGATGGCCGGTGCGCTCACTGGTTGAGCGTGATGCAGACAACACTGTGCCGGGGGGAAAAAAAAAAGTAGAGAGAGTAACTTCAATAGCTATAAGCTCGTGGCGAACATTGTTTTATTTATATTTTCACCCCCTTTTCCCCTTCCCTGGATTTTTTAAAAAACCAAATCCATTCATTTCACCAGTAAATCATTCAGATTTACTAAAAGATAAGGACTATAAGAAAAGTTGTAATAACACTTCCTTAAATTATAAAACTAAATAGTAAGTATTAAAATTTTTCCGATTGTTTCAAGTGTGAGTTTTAAGAAGATTGTTCAAATCAAAATTCACATAAGTTCCACACATTGCAGTTGGCTAATACGTCTCCATTTTCTAAATTCCCCCATTTACTGCTTTTTAAAATTTTCACATGTGGTTTGTTGAATATATCACATTTAATGACAGCCTTATTATTTTAGTTTCACCACTTTCTTGATGAACATTTGATCCCAATTTTTTGACAGCATAAATATAGCACTGCTTTATCCTGATGGCCAAATATTTTAGTACATTCTTATTTCCTTCATATGAATTCCTAGAAGTAAAAATGCTTGTTTGGTGGGTGGATATATTTTTGAGGCTTATACAGTGTGTCAGACACTGTTAGATACTGGGGATATTGTGGTAGAAATAGACATACCCTCCTGTCCTCTTGTAGTCTTGTGTTCTTACAATAGAGAAAGATGGGATTAGGGTAGTACATAGGTGGCCCTCATGGAATTGTTGAGGATGGTACCTAGCCCAGACACTGGATGAGGAGGTGTTTAGAGACCGTTCATGTAGGCAGTGTCATGTAAACCAAGGTCTGAAGCAGAAGGAGAGGTTGGATAATCTATTCAACTTTACAGATGTGGAAATTACTCAACAGGAAAAACCAATCACCTAATCTTCACTGGTCAGAAATCAGAGAACTTGGACAGAGTTAGTTACAACTGAAGGGTTATTGTACTTACCGAAGTTTTTTGTCTACTTAGCCATTTTATTATATACCCAGATATATCTATATCTATATATCTATATCTATATCTATATATATATTGTCTTTTTTGTGACCGGCCGCACCACGCTCAGCCAGTGAGCACACCGGCCATCCCTATATAGGATCCGAACCCGCTGCAGGAGCGCTGCTGCACTCCCAGCACCACACTCTCCCGAGTGCGCCATGGGGTCTGCCCCAGATATATCTATTTTAAGCTAAGTAAATAGCAAATATTGCCATTGCACACTACATAATTTTTCTTATTTGTCTATGTTAGAAACTGCTCTATGAGGGCAGGGATTTTTTTTTTTTTCACTGCTGTATCCCTAGGTGCTGCTATGTTTGGTATGTAGTAGCCACTTGATATCTATTAAATAAATGACTGGCTGCCTACCTGGAACTCACTGTTTTAGTTTCCAGTCAGCGATATACTTCAGGAAGCTGTAACATTAATTTTTATTTATGGACAAAGAACTGGGGAGATAAGACCAAACAACTTGGAGATAAGACCAGTCTCTTATTTTCCTGACTTCCTATGTAAAATTTAAATGACATTGTTGTCCAGTTTTTATCCATAAATTCTGGAAGTAATGATTTTATGAAGGTCTGAAAAATAAACTTTTTTTTTGAATAGAGTAATCCTAGAATAAGTGCAGAGGAATAAACCACCTTATTGATGGTGTAGGTGGGAGATTAAAAGGTATAATTCTGTATTATTCCTCCCTTATTAATGAGTGATAATTAGAATGTAATAATGCTACATATAAGCATGCTACTGTGGAGATTCTGTGGGACATGTAATAAAGCCTTAATGGAGATTTGAGGTTTAGTATTAAAAATACCCCAGGAAAGCTTTGGTTGCTAAATAATGTTTTTGTACATGTTGGTATCTAGACTTTTCTTTTTTTATATGCACCCTTTGTTGGAAGTCTTCCCTTCTTTCATTCACTTTTCTACTCCCTTGTCATTCCTTCATCCCTTTATCATCCAAATGAGCTACTTGTACTAGAATCCTTGTCTCAGAATTTACTTCTGGGAGGGCCAACAAAGACATCTGGGCAGGTACATTATGGCCTAACCACCATTTGTAACACTGTCTAGATGAACAAATTTGTTTCAAATTTCAAACAACCAAGTTCCAATTGAACTTTCTGACAAATACTAATTGTCCGATGGGTGCTTTTGTTGTAATGGTTTTTTTTTCTTTTTTTACTTTATCATTATACAATGTAAACATTTTTTGTGGTCCTTTACCAATTTCTCCCTAATGCCCCCTCCCCGTCCCCCTTTCCCACCTCTGTGGCCTCAGTTCCACTCTTTCCTTTTGAAAGTTCAAGGAATTATTATGATTGTTGTATATAGACTTTTTTTTAAAAAAAGAGAGTTTGGTGTCTCTAATATTGCTTATTAAGTGTTGGGGGCACTTCTGCTTTTTGTCTACTGTCTCTCATGATCCTATGAGATATAGATACTAGTATCAGCCCCTTTTTACATATAGGTGTAATTGCGGTTCAGCGTGATTAAGTAACTTGCCTAAAGTCTAACAACTTTAGTGGTAGAGCAGGAATTCCAGCCTGGACCGTCCACCCCAGAGCTTGCTTTCTTAACCAGTGCCACACGCTGAAGATTGTGGTAAGATACACACAACCCAGAGCTTAAATTACTACTTTTAGAGGTACTAAAAACTTGGGCTTTGGAAGCAGTAAGATTGGGTTGAGATCCTATCTCCATTACTTATTAGCCAATTAGATTTGGGTAATTCTCTAAATCTCAGTTTCCTCTATGGTAAAATACCCTTACCTCTCATAGAGTAGTGAGAATCAAATGAACTACTGAAGCGTGGCAATTCTGCTATTTTTTTTTTTCAAGGTAAGTAGTATGTATCGAACTTGTGGCAAGGCCTGTTTCAAAGATCCAACGTTTTTCAGAAAAGTGTTGCCCCAATCGAAGAGAACAAGAGTTAGAAAATGAGACGAATTTTGGTTCTGGGGACAGGGGCTCCCCCACACTTTGAGAAATAAGGGCTGGACACAATAAACTGGTAAGAGATCAGTTTTTCTCAGTGTGCATCTGTCAATGCATTTCCACCTCCACCTCTTTCAAGCATGCAGACGACTTGTACATGCTTGCTTCAAAACAATTAATATATCATCAATTCTTAAAAGATCCAAGTTAATGAGTTTTTATCTAGTTGGCAGTGTCCCAGCCGTCTACGGTCAAAACTGCCACTAGCTGTGTGGCCTTGGACAAATTACCTCAGTGTGCCTCAGTTAAAAATTTGCAAGACTCCCTGGTACATATTAAGGTTCTTTATAAAGTGTTAAAGACTGTTTAAAAACCAAAACGAATTAACATCACAGTCTCGGGTGTTGCTACCTACGGGCTGTCTGCACTACCACTAAGTCTTGGGCGGCGGGGTCCCCCTGCTGGCCACATCCCTTCGACTACCTCTGGTCGGCCTCAGAGGGGCGAAGTCGGGTGTGGAGGCGATGCAGGTGTCATTACTGCTTTAGCGTGAAAGGGGAAGGAGCTCGCTAGTTTAAATTCCCTAGCCCCAGCTAGTCTCCTAGGTGTGAAGGGAATGGGGGAAAGGACTAAAAGCTTCAAGAAATAAGGAAAACAAAGGTACGGAGAATAATTTTCCCTCTTCGTGCGTCCACTTTACCATTTTGCTAACCGAAGGTCCAGCGTTCGGGCGCCTCCATTCCGTTCAAGGCTCAGCTTCGGAATCTAGCCTCTGTGGCGGGGCTCGTGGGAGCGCCAGTTCCCACAGACCGTGAGCGGGCAGGCCTTCCCTACTCCTGGGCCCTCCGCCCGCCCCAACCACGCTGCCCGGCTGGAGCCCACACGCGGTCCGCCCGACCTCGAATCCTCTGAACCTAGGACCCAGCGGCTGTCGGGCACGCCCTTGCTGCTTCTCTCCGCGCATCAGTGCCCGCGATTGGCTCTGGGCAGTGCGGCCCCGCCTCCGCCATGGCCGCCGCCTGCTGCCAGCGGTACTAAGTGGCTGCCGGGGGCGGCCGGGGTACCGGTCTCCCCCGGCCACCCCCGGCTGCTGGGCCCGCCGGCTCGTGGCGCATGGGCCTCCTCCGAGGCGGACCCCCATGCGCCCGGGCCATGGCGCGCCTGGGCGCTGTGCGCTCCCACTACTGCGCGCTGCTGTTGGCCGCGGCGCTGGCCGTCTGTGCCTTCTACTATCTAGGCTCAGACCGGGAGACCTTCTCCAGCGCCACCAAGAGGCTGAAGGAGGCCCGCGCCGGGGCTCCCGTCGCGCCCTCGCCGCCCGCGCTGGAGGTGGCGCGTGGCTCAGCGGCGCCGGCCCCGGGCGCCAAGGCCAAGAGCCTGGAGGGCGGTGGGACCGGGCCGACGGACTACCACCTGCTGATGATGTTCACCAAGGCGGAGCACAATGCCGCGCTGCAGGCCAAGGCCCGGGTCGCGCTGCGCTCGCTGCTGCGCCTCGCCAAGTTCGAGGCGCATGAGGTGCTTAACCTGCACTTCGTGAGTGAGGAAGCCAGCCGCGAGGTGGCCAAGGTCCTGCTGCGGGAGCTCCTGCCGCCCGCCGCCGGCTTCAAGTGCAAGGTGAGTGGGGCCGCAGCTGGGGGCTCCAGGCGGGTGGCCCACCCTGTCCTCGGTGAGGTTGGCGTGGCTCCCGGCAGGGCTCCTGGGGACTAGGGCAGGGTCTTCAAAGCGCTACCTATTTCCAGTGCCTGTAGCCTAATCCCCCCGCCCTGCCCTAAAGGTGCGTTCACAGCAAGCTGGAGGCCTCGTTCGGGAGCGGGCCCAGGATCCAGACGCGCTCTGCGGTGCAGGAGTGGAGCTGCGGTGTTAGCTGACTCGCTTCCCTCTCCCCCGAGTTGAGTGCGGCTCCCTGGGGAATCGGCACGCCCCGTTTTGCTAGCGTCGCAGGGTTCAGCAGTGCCTTTAGAGTCTACAGTTCTTTTTATGTTCCTCAGTCTTTGACCTCTGAGGATGGAACTGGTCATTTGAAGGCACCAATAGTCATCCCGAGCAGGCTAAAGTCTGCTGAAGAGGGCCTTGATGAGGTTTCTGGAAGTGCTGAAGTTGCAGTCACGTTTCTTATAGCTCTTAAGGTATTCCAGTTGGATCTGGTTAAACCAGCGTGAACCATCTCTTCTCCTCTCTGGGCCACCTTCTGCCGTGCCCTCAAGGGTCATGAACCCATTTAGAGAAGCCGCAGGTTCCTCTAAGTGAGGAAGAGAAAGCTCTAAGAGGCACAGATACGGCCTGGGGAGAGCACAGCTGACCACCTTGTCCCGGGCTGGACCAGTCTGCCTCCGTACCAGCTCCCACCTCTCTCCACCGTCTCACTTCACGCCCTGTCTCTGCTGTCCGAGACTGGGTTCCTGACTTAATGAGAATTGCCTCCATTAAATTGCTTGCCTCCTTTTGACCTAACAGCTGTACAGAGGGGATCCACGGTCTGATTTTTGGAAAGGAGTAGTAGGTGATCTTAAAGCATGGCGACCGATGTTGGTGGGGGAAGGACGGTGAGGCAAGGGTGGTTGTCCCTGTATTTGTGCCTAGTGAGTGACTAAGAGCAGGTGCTGCCAGGATCCTGCAGGGTTCTAAGATCTGTTGTGGCTCCTTGTTGCCTACAGAGTCATGTCCCAATTTCTTGGTAAGGCTGTCTGTGTTGTGAACCTGGCCTTCCTCTCTGGCTTCGCCTTTCCTCCTTCCTCTACGTGCACCTTATATCTTAATTGTGGTCATGTCCCAATTTCTTGGTAAGGCTGTCTGTGTTGTGAACCTGGCCTTCCTCTCTGGCTTTGCCTTTCCTCCTTCCTCTACGTGCACCTTATATCTTAATTGTATTGAATGTGCCTTTACACAAGCTGTGCTCTCTGCCCAGAATGTCCTTCCCTCCCTCTTGGGTTCTCAGCCACTCTTTACTCAGCTTTCACCTCCCCTGAGAATGTCCCTAGACCCTGGAGACAGTCTGTGTCCAACCCTCCACACCTCTCCATTTCTGCTTCCCACATAGCATTCTGCTTCCCTCATAGCATTCTAGGCCAATGTTTTTCCCTTTGTGCCTTATTTCCTCTTTAAGGAGCACTTCTCTCTTGTAAGATAAGGTCCAGAGGGCATTTTTCTCCCAGGGAGAATTAACTTGAAGTGTATTGGAACACCTTGGGAAGAGGAAGGCAGTTCCTTGCCCTCCCATGAAAAAATGAGCCTGTCAGGAAAGAGCACCTGGGCCTCAATTTCATGCTGTAGGAGGCCAAGAATCCAGGTCTTGGAGATTGTGTCTGGAGAGGCCCTTGGGAGCCACTGTCTGATCTGGGGTTTTTCAGCCTGGGGCCCGTCCCAATTTACCTAATTGGAATCTCTGGAGATGGGGCCTGGCAACCTGTCCCAGGTGATCCTTAGGACCCTAATGTTGAGAAACCATGCATTAGTCCAGGGGAGAAAACTGAGGGCCCATGGCCATTGGGCCAGTCTGGGCAGATCTGGGATTTGACCAGGTTTTCAAACAGCACCCTCAAGACCAGCATTGTCATCTCTTTGTCTTCTGAGCCAGAATAGCAACCTGGGCCTGCTCTACACCATTGCCAGATCTCCACCTTCCCCGTAGCCGGAGCTCCAGGCACTGGCTCCTGTTGTGCACCCAGTGCTTTCCAGTCTGCATGTATCTGCTTGTGTCATTCCCACTGTTGGAGAAACTCTTCCTCCATTTCCGAGTCTTGTCCATCTTCAGATGTCATACCTTTCTTGGAATCATTTAAGGAATCCCCAGCTGAAAGGTATGTCTTTCTTTTCTTCCCTCTTGTACCCCCCTGGTGCTGTGACTGTATCTTGTCTCACCATCCATCCCTATGTACAGTGCCTGGCACGTGGTTGGCCAGTTCCTGCCTCAGGGCCAGGCTCTTGTTCTTGGAGTATGTATTTCAGGCTCTGCCTCCCTCCCATTGCTGGGCCCAGTTCTGACAGGCACAGCCCTCACCCAAGGCCTGGAGGAGCTGTACATGACCCAAGGGAACTGATTCCTCCCCAGTTGAGGCAGGAGGGGTGCTGGTCTGGGGGCTTCTAGCCAGGTGGCAGTGGTCTGATAAGGGTTTATCAGTCCTGGCATAAAATTGCTCCCATTACTTTCAAGGTTGTATTTCATGAATCTATTTTCCATTTGTGATAAATGGTGCTGTTTTTTCTTTAAATGTGTGGTTGTAAAAGGTTTGCTTCATTTTATTTGTGATTTAATTCTTCCTCAGGTTTGGAATATTCCTGAACAGAATGCTTCTCCCTGTACCACGGACCACTTCACACATGCCTTTCCCTCTTCCTGGAGTACCCCCCTGCCCCCAACTGGTCTGCTTTCAGATCTCAGCTTAAGTCTTATTTCCTTGGTAAACCTTTCCTGAGCCCCCATTACATACTCTTAGCTCCAAGTACTTTTCGTTACTAACATTTATCACAGTTGTATTCATATAAGTACTGAATTAATTATTTTTCTACCTTGCTAGGTTATAAATCCTTAAGGGCATTGATACTGACATCTATTAAATGCTGTATCCCTAGCACCTAACATCATGCCTTACATATGTGAGTAAAGTTTATACTGAGAATTATTTTTTTAGTATTGATCAGGAAGAAGGAAACTAGAAATTCTCAACCGGGTTGCATCAGAGCTGGAAGGAATGTTCAAGAGCATATAGTGTCACAGGTGAGGAGACTTGCCCAAAGCCACTTGGGGAGTTATTGACCCAGTTGGGGTTCGGCCTGTGTCCTAGACCAGTGTTTTTCCCTTTGTGCCATATTTCCAGTTAAGGAGCACTTCCTCTTTAAGATAAGTTCAGAGGCGCAGTTTAGTCCCAGGGAGAGTTGATCTTATGTGTATTAGAACACACCTTGGGAACAGGAAGGCAACTCCTTGCTCACCCAACTGTCTGGAGACAGCCTGGGGTCCGTTCCTCCCTTGGGTGGGCTTTGGGACATCATCAGGTCTGCAAGGTGGAGAGCAGGGCTACAGTGAGCTGGCATAGGACTTGTGCCCATACCTAGAGTTCTCAGGTCATTTACAAGTGACACAGAAAAGCCTTTTAGCTGAAATGGTTGTGGAAATAGATCACAGAATATTATTAGTTTTTTTTTGAGGGGGGGAGGGAGCAGTTGGCTGGTGTGGGGATCTGAACCCTTGACCTTGGTGTTACAAGGCTGCACTCTTTAGTACATTATTAGTGACCTTAGATTATATTTTGGTTAAGTAAATATTAGATTAAAAAGTTCACTTAACCAGAAACATCTTGTTTTGACTATTATTGAATTTTTTTCAAAATCTATTAGCTTGTTATCTTCTATCAATAGACAACTGTACTATTTGTTAACTTATTTAATAAACATCAGAAACTGCTATGTTCAGGCACCAGTATAGGAGCTGTTATAGGTCCATTTTCTAACTGCATCAAAATCACCTGGGGACACTTTTTAAACATATAGAATCCTGGGCCCCGCCCCAGTCTGTGGGTCTGAAGCTCCTGGGTGGAGCCTGGGAATCTGAATTGGGATGGAGCTGTGTAAGCAGGCGTGGGAGTCACTGCTTGTGAGGGATGCAGGAGTACCTGGTGGTCTCTTGCTGAGCTCTCACACCCAGTTCAGGTATCCCCTCCTCTCCTGAGGTGCATAGTGCCTGGCACAGGCACTCAGGAACCATTTGACTGGAGTTCTCTTTCACCCAGGCTATTCTGGCTCTGCTGACCTGGGAAAGGCTGCTACATTCACCTTGTTAAAATGCTGCTTTTCTCACATTACATCCATTTGGAATCTCCAGTGGCTCCTGACTACCTGTCATCCCAGATCATCCCATCATCCTAGACCCATATCAGCTGGCTTCAGCTTTTTCTTTGAGAATTTCCTACAGCTAAGGAGGAAAAGATAGCTCTGGACAGCCAGTGGCCTCCCTACAGGGATGGACTTGCCCTCCACAGGTAGATTCCAGAGGAGAAGAGAGGTGGGGATGGGGCAGACATACCTCCCAAACTCACCCATCAGGTAAATTTCTCTTCTTGCCTTAAGGAAGAGTTAGTGTGCACAGTGGGGAAGAGGGTGTAGGGCAGGGAGCAAGAGGCCAAGAGTGTTGGTCCAGTAGAGCATCCTTCATACAGAAGCACTAAGCAAGGGAAAGGATGAGCTCTCTACTTCCCATTATATTCTCAGCACGGTTCCTGGCACATTCTAGACTCTCAATAAATATTTGAACTTGACTGACTGATGACTGTATTGATTAAACCCAGGACATTCTAGAAGAGTGCTCAATGTTCTGCTCCTCTTCCATCAAACCTCTGCCTCCTTCAGAGCGTAATGCTGGGATGCTCAGTCTCCAGATGACAAGTTAGGAATAGAAATGAAGCCATGTGCATTCCCCACTTACAAGTGATTGTTAGATTCCAGGAGGAGCATGTGCCAGAGGTTAGGAGTGACCAGACAAATGTTAAAGTTCTGTGTGTGCAGTGGGGGATTCCCGGAGTTTCTTTCGAAGCAAGAGCAAAACTGTGGGTGGCTTGGGAAACATGAGTGCCTCTTCTCCTAGCTGGGGCTGAGAAAAGCCTGAAAATGAAGACCTTGAT